TGAATGAGGTGGCAGAGCGCATAAAGGGTCCTCTCTGGCAGACACAGCTGCACGGTGTGACATAGCGGGGACACCTGCATGAGAAGACCTCACAGAGAAGTCTGTTGGTGACAGAATGAAGACAAACACCAGTGCGTGTGCATGCATGCTGCGTGCATGTGCCTGTGTTTCACAAGGAGGAGAGGACACAAGGACACGAGCACATATACATGACACACACACCACGCATGATTCTCGCCTCCAGCACTGGGCGAGGCCAGGCTTCCTGGGCTGGCCCTGCCTTTCTCCTGGCCCTCTGTCCCTCTAACCGAAGCAGCTGCAGCTACCTGGCCCAGGGCCTCTGCCCCTTCCCTAACCCACTCCTCCCACTCCCTGCGCCTCGCTGCAGTGTCCTCTCCACAGGAGGATCTTTCTCCCCAGCCTCCGTCAGGCCAGTTTAGCTCAAATGGCGCCCTATACTATTGGCACTCAGCATGTTTTGCACGTGGAGCGAAGCAGCCACATCTCTGTTACATGTATTTGTCTGAGGGTTCCCACGTGCGCAGCATAACGAGGAGTGTGACATTCATCCCCCCATGGCTCTGAGCATCACGAAGGGACTGGTGGCTGTCGCTCAGTGCTGGCCAGGTGGGCTGCTGTAGAGCCTGCAGTGAAAGTGGACGGGCCCCGCCCCTCCTTCCTCTGCCTGAGGACATCCAGGTAAGACCAGCTACAGAGCTCAAATGTTTGAAATGACCGCGGTGAGGATGAAGCAGCCCACTGTCGCCCAGGGCCTGACTCAGGAAGAGGTAAGAGCCTCAGACAGTGGCTTGGACATTCGTGTCTCTCTCAACTTTGCTGTTTCCAGAGAAACCGGCCTCAGTCACTCTGCAGTCCAGTCCTGCTGTGGCCCCATCCACACAGGCCTGCTTTGCTTCAAGCCTATCAACACATTGCTGCACTTAAGTTTACCCCAGCTCCATCCTTCTCCCCAATCCTGGAAGGGCTGTCTCTTCCTGTTTCCTAAAGATGCCAGAGGTTCTCTTAGTGAGCAGTCTCCCTCAGTCTCACTGTAATGGGTCAATCAATCAGAGGATAGCCTTGTCCCAGAGCAAGCCTCTGGGGCTCCCAGTAAGAGTCTCAGCTCAGATGTCACCTCCCCAGGATGTTTGAGAACGCACATCCCAAAGTACCGTCCCCACCCTGGGCCCGCTGCCCTCCTGTCCATCTTGCTTGTGACTTGCTGACTTACGGTCTTCTTGCCAGACCATGAGCCTCAAGGGCCAGCCCACATCCCACTCACCGTGTAGGCAGGACTAGAGCAGAGCCCAGCACACCGGAAGGCCCCAGTAAACTCGGAACTGTTGGGTACATATGAGGGTAAATGGAGCTGCGGAGTGAGGAACAAGGGGAGGAGGCACGGCCTGGGGGACACAAGGAGTATGGCAGCCACCTGTGTGCTGACTCGGCTATCCAGGCCACAGTGTGAATCTGTTCAGGTCCCCAGGACACAGGCAGCACCAGGTCAGGATGCTGGCATGACAAAGGGGCTGCAGCCTTTGTCCTCCAGGCTAGATCATGGAGATCTTAAAAACTGAGAGATAATTGACACACTGTAAAATTCACCCACTGAGAGCATTATTCAGTGAGTTTCAGTAGATTCACAAAGTCAGACTGCCATCACCACCAATGATCTCCAGAATATTTTCATAGTCCCCAGGAGAAACCCCAGACCCATTGAACAGTTACTCTTCCCTTCTCACCTGCCCCTCCCAGGCCCCGGAAACCACTAATCTACTTTCTGCCTCTACAGATTTGCCAATTCGGGACATTTAACATCAGTGAAGTTATATGAAATGTGGCCTTTTGTTACTTCTTTCACTCAGTACCTTTTTTTTTTTTTTTTGAGACAAGGCCTTGCTCTGTTGCCCAGGCTGGAGTATAGTGGCATGATCTCAGTTCACTGCAACCTCCACCTCCCGGGTTCAAGAGATTCTCCTGCCTCAGCCTCCTGAGTAGCTGGGGATTACAGGTGCACACCACCACGCCTGGCTAATTTTTGTATTTTTAGTAGAGACAGGGTTTCGCCATGTTGGCCAGGCTGGTCTCCAACTACTGTCCTTAGGTGATCCGCCTGCCTCGGCCTCCCAAAGTGCTGGGATTATAGGCGTGAGCCACGATGCCTAGCTACACTTAGTACATTTTAAAAATGCATTTATCTTGTAGGATGTATCAGAATGTCATTCCTTTTTATGGCCCAAATAAAATTCCATGCTACAGATAAACCACATATCCATTCGTCAGCCAATGGACAGTTAGCTTGTTTCTGCTTTTTGGCTATTGTGGATAATGCTGCTGTGAACATTTGTGTGGATATGTCTTTTCATTTCCACTGAGGAGAAGAATTGCTGGGGCACATGGTAATCCTGTGCTTCACTTTTTGAGGAACCTCCTGTTTTCCACAGTAGCTGCACCACTTTATTTTTATTTTTTGAATCTTTATTTTATTTTTATTTTTTGAGACAGAGTCTCTCTCTTTCACCCAGGCTGGAGTGCAATGGAGCAATCATGGCTCTCTTGCAGCCTCGACCTCCAAGGCTCAAATGATTCTCCCACCTCAGCCTCCCTGGGACTACACGCACGCGCCACCACACCCAGCTAAGTTTTGTATTTTTTGTAGAGATGAGGTTTTGCCATGTGGCCTAGGCTGGTTTCCAATCCCTGGGCTCAAGCCATCCACCCACCTTGGTCTCCCAAATTGTTGGGATTACAGGCATGAGCCACTGCACCTGGCACAGCTGCGCCCCTTTGCGTTGCTTCCCACCAGCAGGGCAGAAGGGTGCCAATTTCTCTACCTCTTTGCCAGCGCCTGTTATTGTCTTTTTTACTAGAGTCATTCTAGAGGGTATGAAGCAAGTATGAATACATATCTTTTGAGAGCAAATATCTCTCTCCTCTCTATCATCCCCAAATTTTAAAACTCTTTCAGTGACACATAATAATAAACAGATTCCAGCTGGGTGCAGTGGTTCACGTCTGTAATCCCAGCACTCTGGGAGGCCGAGGCGGGCAGATCACCTAAGGTCGGGAGTTCGAGACCAGCCTGACCAACATGGAGAAACCCCCGTCTCTACCAAAAATGCAAAATTAGCTGGATGTGGTGGCACATGCCTGTAATCCCAGCTACTTGGGAGGCTGAGGTGGGAGAATCCCTTGAACCTGGGAGGCAGAGGTTGCAGTGAGCCGAGATCGTGCCATTGCACTCCAGCCTGGGTGACAAGAGCAAAACTCCGTCTCTAAATAAATTAATTAATTAAATTAAATTAAATTAACAGATTCGAATGCCCCACAAGTGCTGTGACTCAAGAGGTGTGGACACATGGATGAGGCAGACCAATTCCTACTAAAGTGACTGTGCTAGTTATTTACCATCCCTCTGCCTCAATTTCCACATCTATAAAAAGGAGACAGTAATATCGTTAAATGAGGAATTAATGAGATGACATACGTAAATCATCCTGAGAAGTGCCTAAAAACAGTAAACTGTCGTTTCTTCTTATTACTTTGAAATAAGCTCCTATTAGCAACAGAGATACTTTTTTTTTTTTCTTTTTCTTTTTTTTTTGAGAAAGAGTCTCACTCTATCACCCACAATGCATTCAGTGGTCATAGCTCACTGCAGCCTCGACTTCCTAGGCTCAAGTGATTCTCCCACTTCAGCCTCCCAAGTAGCTGGGATGACAGGCACACAGCATCATGCCTGGCTAATTTTGCTCTGTTTTGTTTTTTGTAGAGACAGAGTCTTGCTGTGTTGTCCAGGCTGGTCTTGAACTCCTGGCCTCAAGTGATCCCCCTGCCTTAGCCTCCCGAGTAGTTGGGATTACGGGCATGAGCCACTGTACCCGGCAGAGCAACTTCATTTGTTGCAGCAAATTAGAAACAGTGATCCACTGGCTATCGTGTGATCTTATCAAGGGATAAATAAAACAGTGACAATCTCAAAGACAGCTGGTGGGGTACAGGGCCCCAGTCAGAGACCCTCTTATATATGTGACTGACTTCAAATCGTCGCATTGCTGAGCAAGAGGAGCAAGATGGCCTGGAGTGATATGAACAGAAGCCACCGGAAAAGTCATACTCAGAGACTAAAGGGAGAGGCTGGAGGAGGCGGACCACAACCTTTCAAAGTGTGGGATTTATCATGCATACTAACAAGTATTAACACTTAGCTAAACAGCTTAAAGAACAGCAATAAACAGACGACCCCTAGGTTAAGACGCAGAGTACTGCTGGCACCTCGCCTGCACTGACACAAGAGCTACTGGCCACACATGGCTATTTAAATTAAATGAAATAAATCTTGTTTTTGTTTTTTTTTTTTGAGACAAAGTCCCGCTGTTTTGCCCAGCCTGGAGTGCAATGGCGCGATCTCGGCTCACTACAACCTCCGCCTCTCTGGTTCAAGCGATTCTCCGGCCTCAGCCAACTGAGTAGCTGGGACTACAGGCACGTGCCACCACACCCGGCTAATTTTTCTATTTTTAGTAGAGATGGGGTTTCACCATGTTAGCCAGGATGGTCTCAATTTTCTGACTTCGTGATCTACCTGCCTCAGCCTCCCAAAGTGCTGAGATTACAGGCATGAGCCACCACGGGGGAAATATAGAGGGGATCCCCAGTCACACCAGTAAAGCAAGAATATCCCTTGAATGACAGCAGTGGAACTTGACATGGAGAAACCTTGTGACCAAAAGCACACACGGAAGGCATTAGAACAGCAAAAATAAGGTGCTCCCTCCAGCGAGGGATTCCAGTAGAAGAGTCTTGAAACCCATACAAATTGTTATCCCAAACAGCCTCCGTAACATCTCTTCTGCAGACTATCCCCGCCAGCATCTGCTCCTGGATGGCATTCTGCTTCTCAAATGACTTTCCCTTTCCCCGCCCCAAAGGCCTCTGACATGTTTGATCTGTTTCTCCCTCAAAGTCCGGGGACTTTGGCAGGAAAGGATTAAACATACCTTTTGCTCCCTCCTCTCATCCATGTCCATTTTGCACATGGGAAGGAGGCAGCACAAGGGAACGTGAAGAGCCAGACCTGACTCTCAGGCGAGCCCCATGCGTGATCTGGTGTCGGTGGACGTGCTAGGGAGTGCACCCAGTCCGGTGCAGGACCTTGATGGGATATTTTTCCATATACATTGACCCTGGTGCTGGGCTGACTTGTAAGATGGCCTCCATAGCTAATTTTTCTCAAAAAAACTTTCAAAAAACCCCACAGAACCACAGGTCAGACGACCACCACTGTTTCTGGCCCTCCACACTGTCATCTATGTGCTCTCACATTTGCTCCAGCCAGCACATTTCAAATCCACACAAACATGGTGCGGGGCATATATGCACGGAGCAAGGACAAACGAGTTTCTTTCCATCCCCAAAGTGGGCTCTGGAAGGTTCTTTGGCAGAGCTGGTTCCTCACAGCAGTAGCCTGAATTTTTTTTTTTTTTTTTTTTAGACGGAGTCTTGCTCTGTTGCCCAGGCTGGAGTGCAATGGCATGATCTCAGTTCACTGCAACCTCTGCCTCCTGGGTTCAGGTGATTCTCCTGCCTCAGCCTCCTGAGTAGCTGGGATTACAGGTACCCACCACCACACCCAGCTTATTTTTGTATTTTCACCATGTCGGCCAGGCTAATCTCGAACTTCTTTTTCTTTCGAGAGAGAATTTCACTCTTGTTGCCCAGGCTGGAGTGCAATGGCATGATCTCAGCTCACTGCAACCTCTGCCTCCCAGGTTCAACCAATTCTCCTGCCTCAGCATCCCAAATTGCTGGGATTACAGGCATGCACCACCACGCCTGGCTAATTTTGTATTTTTTAGTAGAGATGGGGTTTCACCATGTTGGTCAGTCTGGTCTCGAACTCCTGACCTCTAGTGATCCTCCTGCCTCAGCCTCCCAATTACAAAGTTGGGATCACTTTGTAGTCCAAAAGTGCTGGGATTACAGGCGTGAGCCGCCACGTCTGGCCCAAATTTTGATGGAGGGAAATCCTGGTGAGGCTTCTCAATAGTAGCAAAAAGGGCGCTCTTGGCCACAGCCCGATGAACCTAGTCCACCTCCTCAGAGTTCCCACCCTGAGGGCCGTGCCCTCCCTGGCACAACCAACTTAATTCCCAGCCAAACTCACCTAAAGTAGATTTCAGATAAAGAACTACAGGGAGTGAAAATAAACCACAC